TGGCAAGCAGCAATAAAAGTCTAACAGAGATTTCAAGCTTTTACCACTGAACCCAAATCCTAAAAAAGAAAGAAATTTTATCTGGATATTTTAAGAACTTGCCTGAAAAAAATGGAACCCCATATCTAAGATATTTACACCAGTCACCCATGTACCACACATGGTTTGATCATGCGACTTACAGTGAAGTTGCATGATTTCAAAATTGGATGACCTGCCGATTTCCTTGTGATTTGCAAGACATCTGACACAGATGTCTATGCAAATTGCAACAAAAGTAGTGCATGCATTACTTTTGAAATCGGTGTGGCTCCGATCAAGTCGGAACCACATCAATATGACTGCTCTGATAGCGGACAATAGGGTGCGATTTGGCATACGATTTGCAAGTTGCCTGTCATACAAATCGCACCCGATGTGACCGGGGTCTTACTCAGAAATTAAGTGAGATGAGGTAAAGAAACATTTTGGAACATGGTCCTATTGACTTCAGTTGGAAAATCTGACAGGCAGTGCATCCTGTCCAACTGAGCTGGAAATTACGCAGCCACATAGCAAAGCTGCACAGCATATATGCAAACCCCTCAGGCTGCCATGTTTGGTTTTAGATGCGAGGTCAGTAAAACGCAGATAAACTGCCCGTTTTTGCTGCCCCTTTGCCATTATGTGAATAAGACCTTAGGGTAAGCATTAAATGGTGACAAGGGGCGTATTTCCAAAACACTAGATTATGGTTAGGTTGCATTATTATAGGGCAACCACACATTGCGATTGCAAGTATCTGTGGACTTTAAAAAAATGGTGGCCGTCTGCACATTGATACTGACTCCCTGTTGCATAAATGTGAAGGCAATGGCTAAAAGATGGCTTTAGCTCCTGTTCTACACCTGTAGAGAACGCCACAGACGCATTTCTGCCTCTTCTGGACTCAATCATAGAGGCCCCTCTTTTACCCATCTCATTCACATTTATGCAACAGGGAGTCTGTGTGCAGATGGGCCACTATTTTGTTGAAGTCTACTAGAGCCAGACAAGCCAATCCCATCTGTCTTGTACCAGTCTATTCACATGCTGATCCGACGGAAACAAGTTTGGGGGGGTATTCACCTGCTACTATTTTCTTTGTTTTGGGCTACATATGCAAGCATCTGTACACATTTTGATATTTAGCTCAAGTCAGTACTTCTAAATACTGTGGCAAACCCTGATTATAAAACCAAAAGCACCATTTCACAGCTATCGTCTGTCAGCTTGTACTTTATGCTCAAGGATGCTCTCCTTGTGGGATGCGTGAAGCAATTACAGGCTGGAAATTGCATCTTGATCACCAGTGTTAATTCCCCCTTAATTCTACCTACTCCCACAAATGCACTGCAATCTCCAGTACCTCCTGCTGAAGTTAAAATCCGTTAAAACAGGTAAGACAGGAACCCGTGTGAAAGGACTTGAACTGATTTGACCATTCCCATCAGCATTGGCAGGTTTTGGAGTATGATATCCACAGATGCTCCCTGGAGACATCTGTTATTAGAGGTGAATGCAGTTTCAATACTTACTGACACTTTGTGGACTGCTGCACCTATCTAAAATACTTGAATGATCTAAGGATTGTCCAGAGGCCTGCACAGAATAAGTACTGAAATCCATGTTGACCAGAGAATGTGTGTACATCACTTAAAGTTGCTCCAGACAGGTGCACTCAGACGGAATCTGGATTATCAAATATATTTCATGCTTGCTCAATATTGAACAACTTTTTTTTCTTACAAATTTTATTGTTGCACAGCTGCAGCATAGCAGAAAATATATTCGTTTTTATTTACTGAGTGTTGGGTCTGCTTACATGCAGTACATTCATGATATATTTGAGACTCCTTTTGGTATACATTATTCCATATCTGAATACAGAAAATAATTTCTTCCCTTCCAGAGCCAGAAGAGACTCATAAAACTGCTTTGCAATTAACATGATTTGTGTTTCATGGACAACTGCTGGATTCATTCAGTGTAGATTTGATTTCAGGGAATATTCTCAAAGTAGGGAGTGTTCTCATTAAAAACATAAATTCAGAGGTAAAAAAAATGAATACATTTTGATTAAGAACCCCAAGTAATTGTTGTTTGTGAACTAGCTAAAAGATTTAGATTTTCAAAGCTGAAAGAAGGGAGCTGAACAAGCTGCAGGAGCAATTTAAGTCAGTGGACTGTCAGATTAAAGAGGCCACACAAAACAATAATGATGTACAAATTACAACATCCCAAAGCAAGCAAGTCATTTCACCAGCAGAGGGATGCATGGTAACTGAGAGTTGGTTGCTCTGAATGAAAACTCCTTGCCATTTTCCTTAATAAAAAAAAAGACCTTGTGAATAACAATATGAACTAAGACAGAAGATCAACTGATTGTTCAAACTTACTGGTGGGATAGTAGAACAGCTCCCGGCTGTACCCACTGATGTTAGACTTGTAGTTCTGCCTCTGTGTGCATTGATGTGCTGCAGACTATCTTCATCTCTAATAAAACAAAGAAAGCATCTGTAATTATATGTATATACAAGGGGAAAATTTCCATATTTCCTATACATGACCGTTCTGTCTGGCAAGACATGCAAGAATCTGCTTTTCGCACTTTGAGAAAGCGGCAGTAAATAAAATATTTAAAATATTTTGTAAGACTAGATTTTTGCCAGAATGAAATGTCATATTGGGACTGAGAAGTAGCAAACCTCCACTATGGTTACCTTTGCCTGCTTAAAGTGGAACTAAAGATAAAATATTTATGGAGCCTAGCAGTACCCACACCCACCTCCTCCTTCACTCTCCCGCTGCACTGCAAAGGTTGAATGCTTGCTTTTGTCTAGGAGGAACCAAATAAAACAGCCATACTTACCACATCCCTCACTCCTGCAGGCTTCTTATGAACTGCACGACTGGTTGTTTGCAGGCATCAGCATTCCTGCATTGTTAGTGAGGATGTCAAGGGTATACCCACAACCTGTACAGCTGGAAGGCCTTGACTCTGGCCCCAATGAAAGAATAAGTACAACTGTCTTCCAGAAAAAAAATGAGTATTTAACACTTACAGTGCTGGGGTCCATTTTATTTACCCAGCTTTAATCAGTCAGGTCCAGCAACACCATTTACATGGGTGTGAAGGAACGGTTCTCTGTAGTGAAATTCTCTAGAATCAGATGTTGTAATTTCACACAGGTACCCTAGAAAAACTATATATATATATATATATATATATATATATATATATATACACACACACAGTTTATCATCTTAATGCAGAACTAAAGTTCTGCTGTAACAAGCAGCGAGCAGACAGATGTAGGTGTAACATGCACTGTCTCTTCTGAATAAAGGTGCCCCTAGTAGCTCAATTTACAACGCCAGCCTAATCTCTGTGTGTTGGAATGATGACTTCCTGCACGTGCGCAGGAGTGATGTCATCCCGGGCCTGGCTAATGAAGACAGCCGCAAAGACTGGCACACAGAAGATACCGGGGAGGGGCAGGACCGATAGAGGATAGGCAAGTTTTGACTCCCTTTTAAAATGCATTTCAGCCAAAAACAGTTTTGTAGTTTTGGATAGAGCGGGAAAGGATTAGAACCCCAGTCAGGTATTTACTGCCATGCAAGGTTCTGTTAGAGAGACTTCCCCTCACATGCTGTCCTGTTGAACTGTTTTTCCAGAGGGAAAGTGAAGGAAACTGAACAGGGATGCAGGGCTCAATTCACTAGAGAATATCGCATGAGATAACTGGATCACATTACATTTCTTTCCCAATTGCATGGTAAATACCACATAAACTGACTCTACAGTCAATTCACTAAGCTAAATAAATAAATACATTAGTTGAATAAGTTGCGGTCTAACCATGCATTATTCAAGGCATTAAATAGCGCAGCTTGTTATGGAAAATATCTGACAGCAGTTCTAGACTTCCTCTACCAAAAAAAAGCATTTTTATTTCCTTGTTGCTGTTGAAGAATTCTCATTTTGTGTCTGATAAACCATTGTCAGCAGGACAGCAAGTGAGGGAAGATCTCTCTAATGGGGCACATGATAGCAGTAAAAACCAGACAGAATTCTGATGTTTTTGTCTAGATATACGCATAAAGAATAAAATCATCAAGTCTCAACTCACCATGATATTATAATTATTATCCTCATATAGATATAAGCACACACTACATGTGACATATACACACAGCTTTATCTGCTCTGCGGTGCTGCTCAGTGGTTGCAGTTTTCAGCTCATGCTTCTTCAAATCTCATTCATGTCCAATTCACTAAAAATAATGTTCTCTATGGCCAGGATTTTAATCACAACAGTTGCATAAAATTGTAGTGTATTGTGAATAACCCCCTAGTGGCTAATCTAAAGACTGGTATATTTTAAATAGTGGAAATTTGAAATCGCATATTTAAAACTGAAAAATAAAAAATTTACACGAAGGCCTCGTTCACACCACGTGCAGGGAAGTGCTTTGTTTCTGCACGCATTCTACAAGGACACAAAAAAAAAAAAACCAATTGTTCTCTATCAGCCCTGTTCACACCACACCACTAGTATCATGATTGGGTTTTTTTCTGTGCAGGAACGTGTATAAAACGTGCTGAAATGCTCAAGAGAACTGATGTAAACTCGTGTCTCTACAAGTGAAATCTGCCCGTTAGTTTCCATCAGTTTTTCTGCACATATGGTGTGAAGGAGGCCTAAAGTAGAAATAATAAGAATAATAATAAAATAAAAAGATCATGTAATCAAGTTATATTAAATGCATCTTGCACAGAGGTATCAAGTAAATGGATCTGTCCTGATACTAGTCAACTTCAATTGTCTGCAAAGTAGCATTCTGGGAGAGGGAAGGGAAGGGCAGTACTGCAGCACTAAAAGCTAGTGTGGTTCTACGGAACTGTACAGAGAGGTTCTTCCAACATTACAAACTGGCTATACGATCTCTCATTTTTACAAGGCCTCAAACATTCATTACCTGAAGGGTCTGTATTCTTTATTTGTTCCAGAGAGATTTACAAGATCCGGACATTCATCTTCATTTTCATCTAGATCATCACTGTCTTGACTTTCAAAATCATCGTCTGAACTGTTCTTTTTAAGCCTGTCATCATCATCAGCAGCAGAAGTTGCATGGTTTTCTGTATTAGACTTGCATTTGCCATCACCAGTCTGACCGTCCAGTTCTGCCAAAGCACTGTGAAACTCTGACAAGTCTATACATTTGTCATTTCTGAATTCTGGTTCAGAAGTGGGTGCAGCTTCTCTCAGGGTTGTGCCATGCATGGCTTCAGATAAGCTCATGTCATTATTGCTACCAAGATCAGGTTCTAATTGAAAATCTTCTGTTGGTGGTCCAGTAATGTCTGCATCTTGCTTCTCATAATCTGGGCCTTCTGGTTGTAAGAGATCATCATCCTCCTGCATTTCTTTTGTATAGCCGCTAGCTGCAATTTCCACGTCAAGAGAGCATTCTTTCCTGAAAAGCAAAAACACCTGACTGATCAGCATAAACAGAAGTAAAGGCCAATTCAATGGTATCTAACAGCTACAACATTTGAAGGACTACACTGCTGAAGGGGCAAACTAAACTGTATTTATGGCAATGACTGATCCAAATAAGAGCAGTTTAATTTACTCTAATGCCAAGAAGTCATAAGGGGGGTCACATCATTGCCAATAGTTACTGGAGGGACCAATGGTCTAACTAGTATGGGGGACCAATAAAAAGGGACAAAAAGAAACACATACAGCAATAAACATTTTTAACATTCTTTACAATCACTCATATACTCCATGAGATTACACACATTACATGGTGATTGCCTCAAATGTACACCTATTTATGAAATACCAGTTTTAAGGCTGCTCATTAGTAGAGGAAATGGCAAGGAACATTATTTAAATGCCAATATTCATTAACTTGCTTGCTTTTGGAATTTTTTTTGAAGTTCAGTAGTGGTGTTTGCTAGCAGAAGAGTCCGGTGAATCAGTGGTAGCAGCTGTGTCAAGATGAACAGGTAAAGAGGAACTTTAGTAAAAAAAAATCCTTCTAGATCACTTCTGGCTGGCCCCTTTTGCAGATATAGCTTTGTAAAACAATAAAAATAAGTACCTATACTGTTTAAAATCCAGTAATACACCGTCTCACCCTGCACTGCGCAAGCTCATGTGGTCTCTATTTTTTGCAGTCTGCCAAAAATCAAAGCCACAAAAGGCCAATCAGTTGACAGCCTAAAGATTTATTGCCGCTCAGGTATCCTGGGCTTCAGCAAAATGGCAGTCCCCGGGAAGCAGAAACAGGAACAATGTTGGAGGCAACTTACAGCATACACTAATTTGGTAGCATAATTATTCATTTGGAATGTATCTTTCTGGCTAAAGAACATTTTTTATCAAGTTGTTATGGGTAAAGTTCCATTTTACTCAGCAGTAAATACACAACACTACACAGTTATAATACTATTTACTTCACCCTCAGAAAAAGCTTTGTTTAGAATGAAAAGATAGCATTTTACTTCTTCCTTCCACTAAGGTCACATGGGCCATAATAGTGGAGAGGTTACATCCTTGCCTTCACAGCACCAATTCAGGACCCCAAATGAGAAAAAGGCACATGACCTCACTTTTCAAACAGTAATATTCTTTGGATACAGAAAGTAGCCAGATACTTTGCTCTAAGGGCTGCATATACTTAAAGTAAATCAAGTATTTTCAAAGTAATTTGCTTGTACTTACTGGATATCCCGGAAAGTTGGAAAAAGTTCACTTTCGTAATTGAAGCGCTTTAGGAAGAAATCTCGTATACATTTCACATCTCTGTCAAAATACCTAAAAAACAGGAAGAAAAGAAGAAAAGAAAAAAACATGATATGTGCTCCAGTCAACTTCAATTTTCTGCTCTTCTGCAACTGTATTGGTCTCTTATCAGCAATCACTGATACACAACATTAAAATGGTCTACTGCAGCTCAGATACAAGCTGATGAATCACTTGAACATATTCTTGGCAGTACTGCTAAAATGTGTATGTTTTCACCAGGATTCCACTAGACAAAGAAAAAGGATGCCATTAGTAAGTAGCTAAAGTCGCCATGAATAATGTAGCAGTGAATGGTCGCTAGTTCAAGTATTACGTAAAATGCCGCATTTAATCAAGTCAAGGACATCTCTTGTCAGTGTATACTTAAAGGGAACGGCAACTGATATCTCTACAACATCACTATGATAACAGGATAATACACACCATTCAGCATTTGGATGAGATGTAGACACCATTTGTGGGAAATCAATCATGGTGACATGGTCCTCATCATCCAACATGAGATTAAACTCGTTGAAGTCTCCGTGGATCAAGCCATGATTAGCAAGTTTGACAATGAGTTCCATTAACTCACTGTACAATGAAGCTGGGTCTTCTAAGCGACGGACCTGGCACCTTACAGTAGGAAATAGAAAGAAGTTTAGAATGTTCTGATTCTACAAATAAAGTTCTGCTCCAGCCAAAATGTTATCCTTGATCTGAATATAAATGAGACAAGAGTCAGGTTTTTACTGCTCTCAGGGTCCCTAGTAGGGAGATTCCTAACCACTAGGGATAGGGGGTCAAGACAATATGAATATGAATATATAAGGGAATAGCCTTCACTAAAAATTGAGACAACAAACACAATTTTAATGGACCAGGGAACTGTTAGAACCTTGATGAGTTGTTTGCTGAATTCATACCACTTAAAAGGTTACTGGCTAGAAGTTCCTGTGCTCAGCAAAAGTGCATTTAGTTAGAACTTGGAAAAAACTTCTAATGCCTGTATTACATTAGGGCAAAATATATGACAAATAGGAGCCTTGTACCTGTGATGATTTAGCTTGCTCATACCTTTCATTCAGAGCTGGTTTGTGTTTGACAAAAGGTAGAGATGATCAAAATATTAAAAAAACAGGTTTCTGTTCTCTATGTAGTTTGCCTTAATGAAATACAGGCGGTTACAATCCTAATGCCAAATGAATAGATTTTTTCCAGGTGCAATAAATGATCACACCCATAATCTGAAAAGGCTCTAAAACGAATCTAAAAAGGACCAGCATTAGACTATGAGATGTATGGATTAAACCTGATGTTACAGCAAGAACAACTTAGGAACTTTGAAACAAACCAAGTACAAATTCCAAATAATTGTACAAAGCAAACCCAATATTTTGCATGTTCATAAGGCAAACAGTGGGTCTATAAAACCATGTTCTCAAGGTCAAGTTCTAACTAGGTTTCCAAAAAAACCCAATTATTAACCAAGTTCAACTTTCTATTGCTGCTCAGTTTCCTGTGAAGTAATAAGCCATGAGATCACAAAACTGAAGCAACAGGTAGACATCCAATGCTGTTTTATCCAGACAATGTGTAAAGTTGGTGGCAGGCCTTCTGGTGACTCATATTAGGAACAATGTGGAAACCTCCTCTGGGATACATTCAGTGAGAGGATGGGGTTCTCATTTAATGTGGACAATTCCTTCAAATAAAATAGGACACTGTAAATATACACAAATATTTAAATAATTTGACATAAGTCCGTCAACTGAAAAAGGAAAATTGTAATCAAGTGTAAAGTCCTTATTGATCCACTGAAATCACCACGTGAACAATATAACAATAATTGATTGAGTAAAGTGCACTCAGATATCACCATGTGCGCCAGAGGAAAACCTCCCCCAATTCAGTAGCACTCACCCGATATTGAGGCCCATCCAAACCGGATAGGCAATAGCGCTTATGGCGAGTGTCAGCGTAGTACAGATCATCAATCAACAAACTCTTCATCAATTAGAGACCGATTTGATGGTGAGACACCCTCCAAACTATTACACTCCGTAATCAAGGAGAGATGTAAAAGGAAACTCATAGCGTGAATCCATTAAAAACCATTTATTGTATAGAAAGTATTGCACTCACATGATATAAATGAAAGCATGCCAAAATATCTACAATAACCCTTAAGGGTATCTGTATATCACATGAAGTGAGCGTCTCACCCGATCCACCTCGCTGCACGCGACCGATACCCTTTGCACACCATTTGATAAAGTCAGGTGACGAATCACGTGTCAGGGTCGGGCCGCACCACGAATTCTGTTATGAGACATCCACCTTACATCCCCCACTGGAAGTGACGTATTGCTTGCGTGCGAGGAAGATCGGGCGAGACGTTCGCTTCTTGTGATATACAGATACCCTTAACGGATATTGTGGATATTTTGGCATGCTTTCATTTATTTCATGTGAGTGCAATACTTTCTACCCAATAAATGGTTTTTAAATGGATTCATGCTATAAGTTTCCTTTTACATCTTTCCTTGATTATGGAGTGTAATAGTTTGGAGGATGTCCCGCCATCATATCAGTCTCTGATTGATGAAGGGCTTGTTGATTGATGATCTGTACTACGTAGACACTCACCATAAACGCTATTGCCTGTCAGGTTTGGATGGGCCACGATATCTGGCGAGTGCTACTGAATTGGGGGAGGTTTTCCTCTGAAGCATGTGGCGATATCTGAGTGCACTTTACTCAATCAATTATCATTATATTGTTCACGTGGTGATTTCGGTGGATCAATAAGGACTTGGCACTTCATCACAATTTTAATTTTTCAGTTGATGGACTTATGTCAAATGATTTAAATATTTGTGTATATTTACAGTGTTATATTTTGTGTCATTTTCACTCTGCTAGTGTTTATATATATTTAAAAAAATGTTTTTGCGCTGCTTTTATTAATCATTGGTTCATGAGGTGATTATTGCATATTATTCACTATTAGGGCAGCTAATTACACATTCCATGCACTCATTTATTGACTTAGGTGATTGGTCTATTATGCATTTGTTCAGGTGTTAGATGTTTTTTTTTATATATAATGTTACATCTCATTTGCGCGGTGAATATACCGTTTATATAATTTAAACACATCTGGGTAAAAGATCAGTAGATTTAAATCAGCCTTTTCATTTTTTTATTTGAAAGGCTAAGTTCCCCTTTCTGAACATGTCACATCTGTATTTAGGGTGTAACATGTCACATGTTCATTAACCTTCCCCAGTATCCCCAATCCTCTCCTTCATTGTGACAGCAGGCGAAGGATCCTTTCCCCACACCCGCTGTCAGATTTCAAAAACAGCGTGGCTGTGTGGGGCTCAGCCCACATAGCCACATAATTCATTCACGGGAATATGTGGATTAAAGAACTACAGTATCTTCAGCAACTGCAGCAGACTTCTTGTAGTTCTCAATAAACTGCGAGGGTGCTGATGAACATTCTTGTAGTTTATTGACACTTCCTACAGCATTCAAACAGAAAAGCCAAGTGTCTGTAGGAGCCTGACACTGCATCCCCAATCTGCTGAACGCGGGTCCAATGCTCTGCAGACTCATGATAAAAAAAATAAATGTATATTTTCTACCTGTAATTATTAGTTTTTGTAAAATTTAGCCTTTAAAAGATGTATTTGCTATTTGAATATATTTATTCAGAGTAGAGATATGGTTGCTGGAAATCCAACATGACATTATGGGCAAACATTTACTACTTCACTGGTTTGCACTGCTTACAGCAGCAAACATAACCATGCCTCTGAACAAAGACTTCTTTAAACATTTATCTTTGCAGTTTGCCACTTCATTTTTAATCTTGATTCAGTGTGTACCTTTTAACCTCCATTTTCATTTAACTGTACTAATATGACCTTTACATTTCGCTCAGAAAAAGTCAAAATCATGACAAAACACTGTTATAGTGACATCATGTGGCAGATGTACAAACTACAGCAAGACTGAAATGAACAGCAAAAAGGAAGAAAATAAATTATGCAGTTGGCTAAATTTGTGCAACCATACACCTTTTATCTGCATGTAATTTAAAAGATATGTTTTTGTACTCTGTAAAGTCAAGCAGGAAGCAAACAACAGCAGAACTGCTGATCGTCATGCTTCTAGCTCAATGATTAACAAGTCAGCAATAGCCACCTCCATATAAGCATCTAGCACCTTGTTATATTTTAATATTTTATCAGCACAAAACCTTATCACTAAGCAGAACTGAAGCATATTTACACATTTTCAGAAGATATTTAAATAACTGTCAAAAAAAAAAAAATCTTCCCTCACTTTTAATTTTAAAGCTGAAGTTTGGCCTAAAAAAACCCCCAAACATTCTTTATAACCTTAGTTAGCTAACGTACCTGAAATAAAAGATGTCCCACATTGTGGATGCAGCAGGGTCCTGGAGAATGCTCCATCCTCTTCCTTTCTTTTAACTTTTGGCGCTGCAGTGGTGAATAGCTTCAAGTCTTCTGTGAAAATGTTCCTGACGAGGACCCATCCCCTCCTCCTCCGTTCTCTCCTTGCTTTAAATGCCTCTACCATGACTTGTGAATAAAGGAGAGAGGCGAGTCACAGGATTCTCTCCCCCATTTACAGATAATGTTACAGGCAGCAAAAGCAATGAGAGAATGCTGCTTATTGGAGGAGGCAGGATTAAGGGGCACATTTTAATCAGGAACTTTTTCACAGATGACTTGATGCTAATAACCCCTGCAGCACTGGAAGTACGATGACAGGAAGAGGATGGCTAAACCTGCAGTGAACATTTCCGCAGCAGCATTCAGCTGCCTGCACATGACCATCCTTCATTACAGGTAAGTTAACTCACCAAAGATATTGAGATTTTTTTTTGTTAAACTTTAACATCTTGAAAGGCAACAGTATGTTTAATTAAATCACATTCTATGAGCCAAACTTTAGATACAGACTAACCTTTGCAATGTGCAAGGCCCAGCACTTTTAAATACCTCAATGCGCTGATGGTTTTGTCAACAGCTACACGTGTCTCCCTAGTCAGAAAGAATGAATACCATCTATAGAGCATGATGTGGATGGGCATTATTATCTATGATCAGTACAAAAAAACTAAAAAAAAAAATGCCAGGTCCTTTGCGAAATGCAGCAATGGTAGAGGATTAGGTTTTTGGATGTCTGTATTCATATTCCAGAATGTGATTAGGAGGCCATGAAGGGTGTGTAGGTTGGAGATAAATACAGGTAGAGTTTTTATTTAAGCTTTAAAAAAAGTTTATTACTCACAAGGGATAGCCATTTATAAGCTCCATAACAATCGCATGCCTGTTGTAGTCATGTGGTTTCGGAACGGGGAACCCTCTGTCATATAAAGCCTAAAAATAAACCCAAGGAAAATGTAAATGTTTGTAACACAGATTACTTCAAATATTTTCTAAACAATACACATAAGCGGCTTAGCTCCTCAGCATCAAAACCTGCCATTTCTGGACACCCAGAAGGTGCAGAGTTCAGCCTTGTATTGTCAGCAGTCTATGTGAATCTTGGTTGGACAAGCTGTACTCATGTTTAGGGCCATATGCATTCAGGGAGGAATACCTCCAATACAGAATTCTTGTGTTCTGGGCATGTGTCCCTAAACACGAGTGCTGCATGGTACAGCATCCAAACATCACGCATTTCAGCCGGTCACACATTTTCACAGGCTGCTGTTAGTGAGGCTAGACACTGAACCTATGCCTTCAAGGTGTCCTAAAAATGCTGGGATTTGAGGAGCCGACAGCCAGACTGCTGGTCTAACCCTTATATTACACATGTTACTAAAGGAGAAAAACAAACAAACAAAAAAAACAACAAAAAAAAACCAATATCTCTGTTTTGGCTAGAAAACAGATGTCTGTGTCATTCAGCATCTCTGCTTGAATTCCAATGTCTGACCATTTACAGTAGCAATCACATGGGAGTCCTGCTCTCCCTCTTAGGTTAAGCATGTATTTTATATTATGGAGAACTGAGCAGCAGGATAAAAACACATTTTGATGGCAAAATAAGGACTTACAAGAGAATTACATCTGACGCAGCTGGCCAGCTTGAACATGTAATGCCACATATGTAAAACAATAAGCCCCATTTTTAATGCAAAGTTTGCTTGAAGAGTGTTAGGATGTACATCAATATGCAGAGTTTTGACTAAGAACATCAGCCAATAAATTCCTACATTAAACTAGAGCCAGAAGCATTATTACCAGATCCCTTCTCCATAGCTATATTTATTTTTCATTGTGACAATCTCAGCCATAAAAAAAAAAAAAAAAAAAAAAAAAAAGACAGAATTTGTGAAAGACATATCAATTACAAGAATCATTTTTGCTGTAAGCTTCCCTATCCCCCAAATTTGCTAGTGAAAAGGTTTTAAAGTTTAACTAAAGGCAAAACTCTTTTTTAATTTTGGATGGATGAGTGGAGAGGGATTAGGTTTTTATTGTTGTCCATGTTTCCTTTAGGGAGATTTACCCTCTCTATTTGTCCTTTTTACCATTGTCATCAAAAGTGAAAGCAAAGAAAACCCCGAATTTAGAGTTGTTCCCAGAAAAGTAATAGAGGAGAAATTTTCCAATGGAGTCACTAGCGCTGGTGACCTGGGGGTTTCCAAGGAATTCCCTTAACCGCTTCAATACTGGGCACTTTCACCCTCTTCCTGCCCAGGCCAATTTTCAGCTTTCAGCTTTTGCACTTTGAATGTGTGGTCATGCAACACTGTACCGATATTACATTTTTATAATTTTATTTCCACACAAATAGAACTTTCTTTTGGTGGTATATAATCACCACTATACTTTTTATTTGATTGCTAAACAAATTAAAAAAGACCAAAAGTGTTTTTAAAAAAATACAGTTTTTCTTGTTTTACTGTGCTTCTGTTATACTATTTTGCAAATAAGTAATTTTGCTTCTTCAGATGGGCTCTGATGATGCTGCACTGATGTGCACTCATAAGGTTGCATTGATGATCAAGGCCCTGACTGAGTGTAAACTGTGTACTGACAATCATACCAGTAATCAGCTTTCCCTTACTAAAGACAGCGTGTGAGGAAAGGACTGCAGATAACCGGCAAACCTGTTTACATGTAATCAGCTGTGATTGGACACAGCTGATCACATTGTAAAGGGCTGCTGTGTCTGAAAGACATAGTGGTCACAGAGTGCACCTTGGGGGGGGGCACACAGGGAGGACATCTTCCCTAAACTAGGACAACCACACTGCAGCCATCTTTTGGCTATAACGCAGTCAACTCAAGCGGGTTATTTGCAGGGATTATCTCTCACGTCCCATTTTGGCTATGGGACAGGAAGTGAAGGCAAATCTCCTGAATGGAAAACAGATGGGGAAAAATAAGCTGACAGGCTATTAACCTTCCTTACTCTATCCAAAATGAAAAAAAACAAAAAAAACATCTGACTATAACAGCAAGTGGTATGCTGTTCAGAAGTCTCAAAAGACTCAGTCTGAGGAGAGGGTGTGGTTTAGCCATGATGACAAAGAATCGGGAAACATATACTTTCCCAGCACTAAATTGCATATAAACGTATGGCTTGATATTGATTAGGCCCTCACATGGTGCAGCTATTGTACTGTGAATGTTGCAAAGCCAGTGTTAGAAGTGGCAGGTCTCATTAAACACATGCAGTTTGGTTTGTACGGCATTAAAAAAAAATTAAAAATTGCTTTTTTGGGCACCCGGGAGGCACAGGTGCAGTGAACAGCTGGCTGTCAGCAGCCCATCATATCAGCGATTGCTTCTTGGTAACAATGTGAATGAAAATAAGAGAGAGAACACAAACTTTCCTAGCCATGTGAGGTAACATGCTGTGGTCTCTTCTCTTTACATTTTTTTTATTTTGGATATATCAGGGGTGTGGAAATTTTTTAAAAAACTACTTGCCCAGGGACTAAAATCGGGGTCCCAATCTATTTGTCCCTCGTGATAATCTACTTGTCCAGATAAAAAATAACAAAATTTTTTTTTAACCAAAACTGTATTTTAATCTGAGGTGCTTTTAGGAATGTCTGGGGCTTTTAAAAAAACAAAAAGGGGGCTTTATGGCAACTTTAATGTTTAATATTTTTAACATTGTGCGGTGTATCTCCTTACCTCCCTGCCTTGTCTCCAGCACTGCACCAGGAACTAGCAGGGAGGAGAGACCCTTGCAGAGTAATGAGCACCGATTGGGTGCTTGTCAGGAAAGGGGAATGTCAGGCTTATCCCTTTTTGCGTTTTTTTTTGCACACGTTTAGAAAAAGTCATTTTAGGCCTGAAGAGTACATAAAACTCCCAAAACATTATATATTTTCTGAAAGCAGAGACCCTAGAGAATAAAATAGTGGTAGTTCCAATTTAGGTTGTTTCGAGTAAATAGATTTCCAACATGTCAAATCTTAAATTTGCGTGCGCTCGTGAAATTGCTACAAAGTTTAGTATTCTATATTTTCTATAGGTGACACTGTTAAAGCCCCTTATAGGTAATCAGTTTAGCGCTACAGAGGAGGTCTGGTGCTAGAATTATTGCTCTCACTCTGGCATGCACGGCAATATGCAACATCTGCTTCACAATCGTTTGCATGCGTAGGCGCTCCGGCGTGTGCGTTTACGTTTGTACATGTGCATATTGGGGGGGGGGGGGGGGGGAGTTATGTGATTGGGTGTAACTTTAATTTTTTACAAAGTAAGTTTTTTTTACTTAACTTTTTTTTCTTCATCACGTGGGGGACAAAAATACCCCTAATGTAATGATTTTTGGTGACAGGTTCTCTTTATTGAGACATCCAGGGTCTAAAAGACCCTGCATGTCCCCTGAATGTAATGCAATGCACATCGCATTGCATTATCTTCTTCCCTGGTCAATTCCTGCGTTCTGAATGCATTTCTGCATGCCCTTTTTAATGCATTCCTGTACATTTTTTATGCTTTTCTTTCCCCCTTTTTTCTTTTCATCTGAATTCAGTTCATATGTGTTCTGGTGCTTTTTTGATGGTTTTACCGCATTGCACACAGAAAAAAAATGCAGCATGTTCTACTTGCTGACTGCACGGATATGCATGGCAGTGGTGCAAACGAGGGCCATTGGAATACAGAAAAAATACTGTACATGCATTTTTGATGCAGTTAAAAAAATAAACACAGTGGACTGCATCTCCTATGAGCCAGCCCCTACAACATGTGTTGTAACCATGGCAGGAAGATTCAAACCTATGCACCAGCTGTAGGGCTCACAATAACAATATTGCTTTTTAAACAACACTGAATATGAATAAATCTAACTATTATTATTATACAGTATTTATATAGCGCCAAAGGGTATGCTCAGTGCTGTACAGTAGCAAGGGGGACAGAACATGAGACAAGACAGTAACAATACAATACACGGGGGGTTTGAGGGCCCTGCTCTTTCGAGCTTACAATCTAGGAGGGAGGGGAAGGTGGTACAGGAGGAGATAGCTGTGGGGGATGGAGTGGTGGGAGGAGTGGAGGAGGTTAGTTGTTAGGTGAGGTCGGGTGTTAGGTGAGGTTGGGGTAGGCTTCCCTGAAGAGGAGGGTTTTCAGGGTGCGCCTGAAGGTGAGGAGGGTAGGTGACAGTCTGATGGATTGGGGTAGGGAGTTCTAGAGGATGGGGGAAATCCTGGAGAAGTCCTGCAATCGGGCGTGGGAGGAGGAGACCAGGGAGCTAGAGAGTAGGAGGTCCTGTGAGGAGCGGAGGGCATATAAAATTTTAAAGGTGATCAGCAAGAAGACTTCCTTTCTATTTGTCCCTGTGGTACTATACATAAAACTGCAACAGATACACTAACAATAGAGGATTTTAATTAAAAGGATTTGTTCACTTTGTCACAAAAAAGGAAAAGGTGAACTAACATGTCCCCCTCCTCCTTTACTCCTGCAGCTACTTCAACTATTATCTTCCGCTGACTCCAGCAGGCAGTGTACCGGGCATTTGGAAAATGCATCATAAAGCTCATAATGGCGAATAGTCATTGGTCAGAGCCAGGCAGGGTCACATTGCCTACCAATGAGAATCTCTCTGAGCCCTCTGCAGAAGAGTGTGGTTTCCAAATGGCCGAACTGCTGTATCAACTTGCACGGGCAGCAGAAGATTATAAATGTTACAGAAGGAGCTAAGTTCAGGTTAGATCAGGGAATAAAGATGATGTCCTCAGTTAAAGTGTTACTAAACCCACCACAGTAAAATAAGTCTGTATATGTAGTAAAACGTGCTTGTTATACTCATTGTGGAACCTAAGGGGTTAATCCTCCACATTGTGTAAAAAGGATGTTTAATCCTGTCTTCTCTGATTCTCCCCTTCTTCCACAGTCCCCAA